GTGCGCCTATTAGGCGAGCCGCCGAGCTTCGTTCGAAGCTGTCAGTCGAATCTCATCAATCTGATCAGCTGGGAAGTCTGCGTGGTCGCGCAGACCCAGTTCTCTGAGGAATCTGGAACGATCGGATCCGCCGTCTTTGAAATGCCCTCCGCTCCTTTCCCGCCGTCGCCGATTTTCAATGGCAAGTGCGATGATACTGTCCAGATCTACCAGCACGTCGGACATTTCATGCCTTCGAGTTCATGCCTATTTGCGAGAGGCATTACGATCCGTCGGATTCCAGCTGGCGAGAAATCGCATAATGAGTGGAGATAGCGAAATGGATTAAGTGTCCGGCAATTTAGCGCGGCGAAACGTCTACGGTTGTTGCTATCTTCACGGCGAGAATTCTCATTATCCACCGCGACGGCGGAAAGTCGGCCGGGAGAGATGAAAAAAATGTCTGCACAAGAATGCTTCCATTATCGGGGAAGAATGGGTCGACATAGAATAAAGGACGACGGGCTTCAGGTGAGATTGAAGCTTTGCATTCGAATGAACGCACTTCTCGGCACAAAGCGAAAAAAGATCGAGCGCGTTCGATAGGTTATATATCGAGGTCGATATAACCTATAAATATTTGCGGAACCATTGACTTTTTTTGAAAAGAAAAAAAGAACAATAAGAGGTAAGATTTCGATTTCATCAGTTCTCGAGAAGCGCAATCGAATTGTTTTGGCGATTAGCGTTAATCAACGTTCTCGTTGTTGGTTAATGCATTTGATTTTTTCAGGCACGCAATCATGAAACGTGCATCAGATTTTTCGGGATAACGCGATACATGGCGCGACCCGTCCCGATATATCGCGGAGGGTTCGCACCGCACGCCGGCACGCGACGTCTCCTATCGATCCCGCCCTCGCCGCGTCGGGAACGTGGCTCGCGCGCGAAAAGCAGCGCGAAGTCGCTATCGCAATCGGCCGGCTGGCCGGTAACGCGTGATTCCGCCGCCCCTGCAGAAATTTAATCGTCGACGGTACGATGCGTGTTTCACCCCCTGGCATGCCCCCCCCTCCCTCCGCTTTATTGCTGCCCCGTGCCGAGTCAGCTGCGGGCGATAAGCCCAGACCAGTTTCGATTCGCTCGCACTTACCGAACAAGTATCTCGTGCACTTGTTCACGGAGGGGCGGGAGGGAGAGCGGGGAGGGTTGATGCCCGATCCCTTCGGAGCGCTCGAATTCTCCGGTGGCACTTGTTTCGCCACACGATTAACGTTATAAAGTTGCACCGTTCAGCAAATTTGCATGTGGAACTCGCCTCAGGAATGCGTACATTTTTTTTTCTGCAAAATTCCTTGGCAAACACGGAATGTCATTATTTTTCGCCGAGGAGCTAAATTGCGAGCTAAAAATCGAGATTCGGAATAATTAGACTGTTTTCCATAATATCGATCTTCTTTTGCAGATATGCGAGGATGTCATCGCCATCGCTGGAGAGCCGCAAGCCCCCACCCTCGCATGCTCCCGCGTCGTCGCGACGGGTCCTACCTAGGAGCGGCCGGCGCTGCACAACGGGCCTCAGTAGCGTGACGAGCGTCGATCCGTGTGTATCTGGTTTCTACGCGTGGCTTTACGCGTGTGTGCTGCTCCTTCCGATCGCCCTACGTCCGACGTTCTCTTCTCCTGGCCCGCATTCCTTTATTCTGCCACATCTTCTCCCCGGCGGAATCTTCGCGCGGACGACGAGGGACCGAGGCGCGGCCGAATCGAGCCGGGACGAGACGCGCGCGCGTGTGTGCCATCGATACGCTCGGTACGAACGAGTGCAGGAGCCAACGATCGAGGGAGCCAGGACTCCGCGCAGAAAGAGAGAACGGGAAGCGGCGAGAGAGGTAAGGAGGTGCCGGCTGGTCTTCCAGCTTCCTGCCCGTGCTTATCGGCGGAACGCGGCGGCGACCCTCGCGAATTCCGGCCGCGGATAACGTTTGCGTATCCTGTTTTGTCCTTGTCGATTCTGTATACATATCAGAGCCCACCCAGCGACGCGAAATGATCGCGGATCTCGAAAGATGGGGAGCCTTTTAAACGTCTGTGAGTCTTTTTTTCACAGCTTGGGCTTTTCTCATTTCGCCCGCGAAGTATTCAGACGGAAATTGCGTAGTAGGTGAAGGTTCAACACCCCTTGGCGACAAAGGGGCGCGCGAGGGTGCGACGAGGACAAAGCGTCTTCGCACAGTGCGAGAAACGACGCGGCGAGACGTCATGATGTAAATTTCGAGTGGTACTGCTGCTCAGCGAAGCGAATCAACGCCTTCCTTCTTAGTTCTACATATTACAATCGGTTGAAGTCTACTTGAAATTAAACGAAAAGAATGAAGTCTTGCTATTAATTAGCACTTGTGCAATTTTATCATTTTATGTTTCAGTTTTAATTGTTTGCAACTTGAATACTTAATTCTTCAAGTTTTGAGAAAAAATCAAAGCAGAGTGAGTTATAGAATTTGCCAAAATAGTTTTGTTAAAGAATCTAAATCAAGCAAAAGCAAAGGTCAATTCGAAATTATTAAGAAAACAGAGCTTACTGTCTCAATTTAATATCTCGGGATTATTTCAGCGACCTTTGGCTAGTCACAGTACATTTAAATATCCCGAAAACACTGTATTGTATTTGGGATTTAGAAGAAAGCGGCTATTCGCTGATCTAATCGAGCCCGTGCGTCCCAGCCGGAAGAAGAGCAGAGAACTCGATAATTTCAGTTGAATTTTTACGAATGACTGATAATCCTGCGCGTTCGCGAGAGTTTGTGCAACCTTGAAGGGTCATCGCGGGGCAGTTCCCATGGAGACCGACCGGAAAGCCCTTCTGAGAGGCAGCGCTTCGTCGCGCGGCGTGAAAAGTGTTGTCGACACACGGCCTTCGCTTCGGAGACGAACTATTTTTACCGACCTTCGCGGGAGGGATGCATCGGCGGGGTTGCGAGGGGGTGTCTGCTTTTATTTTGTACGGAAGCACTGCTCGCGAACGGCGGTGAGTCACCCGGCCGGCCGGGTGACTCTCAGTCGGTGTGCTCCAAAATCTCCTTGTTTTGCTGCTTGACTACGCAAGACTGCGTGTCTTATAGCGAAACTGAGCGAGAACTGTCCCCAGGCATTTTTTAGGCCAATTATATCCCTCAAAGATTAACAAGCCGTCTGTGTTTTTCATGTTATTCCAAAACGGATATTTTGTTAATACGCACCTTTTTATCTAATCTGAAAACACTAATCTATATTTGTTTCCAATCTTTATTTTGAAATAATATACATCGAACCTTAATTAGTGGCGCTAATGCATTTTGATAATCAATGTGAGACATAGCGACTAGCAGCCTATATTTCTAAAGGTTTTGCCTGCTTATATCTTGGGTGGGGTCGGACCCGGTCAAAAACGAAGGGCGCCACGCTGCGCGGCATGACACATCAGTGAAGGGAAATAACCAGGAAGAGAGGCAGAGAACCAGTTTGTGTTTAAATTCGTCGTTGTTTTATTTTTGGCTCTAAATCATTTTGCATCTCTCTTTCTTCAGTGCGTTTGATTTTATTCGCTTCTCAATTTATAACAAGATTAATCTTGGTTCAGTTTTTTTTATTTTTTATAAAAATTCAGTATGTGGAACGTTAGTTTAAATGTATTTCTAATTACGAAGCCTTATTTGATTTTTTTTCAGACAGTCTTAAATTCCGTGTTTGAACCCTTCGCAACCGAAGGTTTAAGAAGCTTAACAAGTGTTCCTACGTGTTTACATACAAATGTATTTACGAGCGGATTAAATATACCAGCGGAATAATGAATACTTCGAAATGCCTGGAATACTATTTCGAAAATTTTCGATAAATTTATTACTTCTAGATAAAATCATGATGATTTGACACGCATTCTTTTCATTCCTGTGTATATGTCATCCAACTAAAATTTGTATACACATCATAAAAGAATCTTTTCAGAAAATAAACATTTGTATTTATTTATTTTTTTTTTTTAATAAAATGCGTGTATTTATATAATTAGACATATATTCACTTAGCATCTTAATTATTTCGCGTTCAATTAAATGCAAAACTCGCATTAATGCGTGTCGAATCGTCAGACAAAACAAAGTTCTTATTTCGCCGATAACACACTGTTGTGCGAAAAGAACGAGAAAGCACTATCTGGTATAAAACTTGTGATAGATATAAATGAAAAACTGTGGCCTGGCACTCTGCAACGGCATTATCGTCGCGAGATTAATGCGCCCTGCGACTGCAGCCGTGAGACTTTACAATCGCAGCATTTAAATGTGAACAGAACTATGTGTGTGCCCGGACGGTGGGTAACTTTGCACCTTTGCTCCTTTCTTCCGCTCGACACAAAAAGAACGATTATGCGACGACACCACTCGCCGGAAGTAATTTAAGAGGCTCGCTTTTATCAATGTCAGTTAACTTTGAACTTTATTTTATCTTGTTTTATTTTAGACAGTTTTAAATTCTTAAAAAATGTTCGAAACATCTGGTTTAGCACTACAGAGACGGGTTTTAGAAACCAGAAATCTGGTGAAGGTGAAAATAATATTACAGCTAGAACGAGAGAGATATCGACCTGAATTAATAATAATTTTGTTTTTGGAGAGAAAAATTCAGCTAAAGAGGAAAAAAAGCTTGCGAAAGTTCAGTTTAATTTGAAGTTGGTAAACCCATCCATAATTGAATGCAAATTGGATTTCCAATTTTATCGCACGAAATGATTACGTATCATTCTCGTCAAAGCCAAACAAGGTGAACATTATTACGTCGTTATTATATTTAATTCTATAATTAATATTTTGCATTGCCATTGATGCGATTGGAAAATGGTATTTAAGTTGACCAAGGAATATAAAATTAAAAAGATGAAACTTGTAAATCGCTGTATATGATAAATTGAAATACTAGTATTTTGTAGGACGCAATTTAATGTTGCAAATTGCATGAAAGTGCCGCGATTATCCAGATTGCGGACAATTCCGGAGACGTCAGAATAGCGCTATCGGCTGTCCAATCATTACGATAGTCCAAGTAGTTGTTATCATACTCTCAGTACAACTTAAATCATCATCGCGACGGGTATCTTGCGAGAGTTATCCGACGACAAAAAGAGTCCACACAGCAGGCGCGTGCGGCGCAAGAAACACGAGCACGAGTCTAGCCGTTAGGCCGGTTTCTTGCTCTGATTTTTCGCAGCTGCAGCTGCAGCTTCCGAGCGCAAAGAGAACGAAAAGAAGAGCACGTGAGGAATTACGCGTGGAAAGCTGTCGAACGACGATACAGCTTCTTTCATTTATTCCACGATAATTTCAACTTTTAATTGCACAAATGTCCGACTATAAATATCTCCGTGACAAAGCAATTGTCCTCGGTTGATCTCTGACCGTAGGAACACTCGTGGCCGACGGTGCGCCCCGCGCGTTACATAATGAAACGTTGCTCTATCGCCGTGCGATGTACCGGACGTTTGTACCGTTCGTTATTCCTCGCATCATACCGCGCCGTACACGCGGCGCGATACGGATCTTGCCTCTCCGCGGTTGCACTGCTTCGTTTTTATTTACACATAATCTCATGCTGGTCTCTCTCGCGTTTCCGACGCGTAACGGATTCCGCTGTCAGCTGAGGGGGGAGGGCCTCGCGTGACTACAATCCCCGTCGGAAGCATAACTGAATCACTTACAGCTCATACTTACGCGTAAATACTCCGGATTTTCTCCAATTAGTGTCAATATCTCGGAATGAGAGCGCATACCACGCCATTCTGTGATTCGGTGGAACAATTAATTAATTGCGTGTCTGAATGCGGAATATCAGTCTTTTTTGCTAAATCAAAGAATTGACGATTGCAACGAGGTTGTTGATTTTGTTTCGGTTGTTGGATGGATATAATTGTTACATCTTTGCATCTATTATCTGTAAGCATTTCCTGCGTATTTCCACGCCGAAACTCTATAAAAGTTAATGCGAATTTGTTGTAACAGAAAAGTGATTCTATTTTTCCCATTAATTAGCTCCGAGATGCATCATTCGGACAATGTCACATCTGCAATTCTTTCATACAATTTTCGAAAAAGCATTGTTGAAGAATATTTCTATTTCAGAGCACGCGAACTAGAGCATTAATGAGCTGAATGAGACACCCTAGAACGAGAGAGATCTTGCGTGACGCTAATGAGGAAAAAGTATGTTCACGATTGGATTCGATGGAAGCGACGGGGCTGAATAAAGCCGCAGCGTCAAATCGAGCGAGATGAGATGGTATCGGTGTCCTCGGTGACCAAGTTCGGCCAAAGACCCGTCTGCGGCTTTTCTTAGCCGATACTTGCACTAAGACTCGCGCTATTCATCGCGTTTGGGCTCGTAAAAGTGCCGCCGCACGCCAAGTTCGAGTATGGCAAGATCGTGCCACATTTATCGTTCTAAATTCAACCTGCGTGCGTACGCTTTTAAATCCCTTCACTGTCGACGACTGTTTATTTAGCTTTTATTTACGATCGTCTATATATAAAGCGATAAAATTTGTTGTAAAAGTTTAATTGGATAATCTTCGGCCGCCGAGCACAACTGAAATAAGTCCTCTCTGCGACTCGATTCGACGCATCTTTGTGCTTTAACGTTGTCCTTGTTCGCTGCCGTTGAAAGTATTTCCGTTCGGCTTCGTGACGGGAAAATTTAAGAGCGAATTCATCCGTTCATGTTGACAAAGCGACGCCTGCTTTCACTATTCACGCCTGTGTGACTTGAATTTTATACCAAATGGACACTATTTTTGATATGTTGCATCATATTTCAACACTTTTTTTAATATTCGCGTGCAAATACTCTAAAATTACAACAGATATTTTAATGACAAATATTAGAAATTGAAAAAAGATAGATTTTTATTAATATAGTTGAATGATTTTATTCTCAAATCGTTTGAATCACACAGTTTTCGACTGAAAAATTGCGAAATGCAATAAATTTTATGGAACTTTGAACTCGTTAAACGAAGTAAATTATTTTTGTGAAAGTTCAAGTACAAATTCTTGAACGTTACGGTCACGGTACTTCCCTAAAGAGCGAAGGAAGGAATTTCTTTTACGAGTTCAAGAACCTCTTCTCGCGTGGCGCTTTAAAGACGTGTTATGGGAACGCTTTAATGCGCGTATCGCTTTTTTTTTTTTTTTATTGGCGTCGTAACATCACTTTTATGCGCAATCCCGTGTCTCGCGCATGATTACTTCGTTACGGATTAATTGCTCCGATTGCCATTAAACGATAGTCCTGTTTCAAAGTCCTGCTTTACGGCGTTCACCGTAGTAACCGGTTGAATGGCACGTCTCGCGTCAAGTCGAGCAGCTCGTTTATATTTACGTGCCACTTGCGATCGATCGTACAGGGTGTCTCGCACAAGCGAATCAATCTTCGATGCGACGTCGTCTTTGACGAGTTGGAAATAGAAGTTAGCTGATTAGAAATTCTAAAACGTTAACTTTTCAAAAATATTTAAAAAAAGAGAGAGAGAGAGAGAGAGCTCTTTGTAAACAAGGTCCCTTCTGTGCTTTCAGGTACAGATGTAGTTGTCAAAGGTTGATAGCCTCTCGAGTGAGCAGTTCTCACTCAGCCGGTTAAATTAACGGTTAAAGCTACTGACTAGTGTGTGGTGAATACCGATTTAACAGGCACGAATTGATCTTAAGTGTCTGGCGAGGGATTCTCGAGACGTGTAAGATCGATCGCGGACGATAGGTCAGATGAAACGTATCGGCCGATAAATATGCGCGCCGCTTATCGCGTGCAATATTCTCGTCGCCAGCCGGAGATGGAACGATATAAAGGAATTATGTCGTTCTGCGTGACTGCGAGTGCTAAAGAAACCGCTAATATGAATTATGCTGTCGGAAGCGGGCGTAATTTAAAGTGATACGTGAAACTAAAGCGTTTTAATCTCTTAAATTTAATTCATGCACATTTCTCAATTAAGCGCGGATCTTTTTCTCCACAATTTATCAAGCTCGTTTAATTTATTAATTTATGTTTCCGAGTATTCTTTTATTTACAGAGCGTAAAAGTAGCTGTAGGAATCTGCAGAGCAATTTCACAAAATGACATACTGCAGAATCATTTCCGCGAGGCAATTTAAAAAAGATGGCACACATTAACAGCGTAATGTAAGACGGCGCGCGTTTACGACATTCGGAGTGTCATAACTACGGTTATTAAGGCGCGAAGCGAAGCCGGAGGAAATGGCTGAGGATACGGCGGAATCGTAACGCGATGGGACAGGTGCGAATAAAGCGGCGAAGTGCCGGTGAAACGAGGAAGGAAAGCGGAGTGGACGTTTACCCGGCAAATAATAGCGGTGTTTTGTTTCGAGTTAGCGGGCGTCCGCCGACGCGATAGCGTCGGGATGAAACTCGGGGGGGATCAATACGCGCAGCGGCGGATTTCTCAATCGGCGCATATGTACAAACCCTCGTGCTTCGCTGCCCCGTTGCGCTCTCGCCATGACTTATAACTCATGAATAACGAGTGTGATACAACGCGCGTCATTTTTAAGTAGCGATAGGACGATAGATAAGGAGGCGTTTCGTGCGGCGAAATTCGCACGGAGGGTGAAAAGGGAGGGATGAACGCAATTATTGATTTCTCCCAGCACTTTAATTAACGCCGCGCGTAAAATATATGCGTAGACGCTCAACGCGGCGTAAAACGATTGTTTGGCGAATTCCTTCTTCGCGAATCTTAAATATCGCTCAATTAAATTCGACGAATAAATCTCGCGGATGCCGGACGATTTTCTATAACTCGACGGGCAATTAACAGTTTCACCGTGGTGTGGCAACAAGCTCGGGGGAGATTTTCTTCGCTACTCGCTATGATACCCGGGATAATTGCAGTTCACTTAATGACGCTTGGAAATGAAAACTGTTGTTTAATTAATGCGCGCATTTTTCTCTTTCAGACGCCACCGAGAAGCTACTTGGAGTGCATTTTCGTAGCTCGAGTAACCGAAATCGCCCAGCTACGTCGGTACGATGCAGAGCAACGGCTCGGAGAATGTTGGATCTGAGAACGGCGTCGACAAATCGGGATGGACGGTGCGTATCGCTTGATTTAGCGCTAATTAATTTAACGAGGAATCGCCGATACCGTGAAGATATTTCTGCAACGGTATTATTCGGAGATTTGCATCGTCAATTCTTAATTCATTTTTTATTTCTTTCCAGCAGGAAATTATCACAGTAATTACAGCAGATTTATCGTTCAATGTAATTAATGAAACGGATTATAATAAATTGCACGATTTTCCAGGTTGGATTGATCAACGGAAAGTTTAAGTATCTGACGGCGGAGACATTTGGTTTTAAAATCAACGCCAACGGATCGAGCCTGAAGAAGAAGCAATTGTGGACTCTGGAGGGCAGCGAACATCAGGTTTTCCTTCGCTCCCATTTGGATCGATATCTAGCAGTCGACCAGTTTGGTAACGTGACAGGCGAGAGCGAGGAGTCGTCGGACCCGGGATGCGCTTTTCAAATACAACTCGCTTCCGATGGTATGCGCAAACTTCGTATTCACGCTCGCGTATTGCTGTACAGTAAAAGAATTTTGTTCATTTGAAATATTAGAAATATATAGAACTTTATAGCTTTACAAATTTTGTTGCATCTTTAAATTTAAGAAAAAATTTAAAGAGATACGCCTTGATTAATTTCGATGTTAAAACCGGCAATAGTTTTTGCAGTATTACGATGCACGTCTAAAAATATCTGAACTATTTTTAAATCTAACTGCACGCGAAAGGCCAATGGCTATTATGATCTTTCATATACTTGCGTTATCACAAACGATTACTCTAACCGTTCGACATCAATTGGTGCTTTGTAATGAATGGGTGAGAGTTTCTTTTAACGGATAGCAATCGGAACAAATTGCAGGCAGCGGTCGATGGGCGCTGAAGAACATCCAGAGAGGCTACTTCTTAGGCTCGAGCCAAGATGAATTGAAGTGTACCGCTAAGGCCCCAGGCGAAGCGGAGTACTGGCTCGTACATCTCGCCGCCAGACCGCAGGTACACCTTAAATACCTGTTGCGTTTTCAGACCTCACGAACGAAGCGTTTACGGTAAATTGTTTGCGCAATCTAATCGTTGCTACAACTTTGCTAATGACTGTATTTCCGCGACCGACAGATTAAGCGACAATTTTAATTCGTTTCGGTGCCGCTCGCTCTTTTATGATTGTATCTATAATTCATGGGTTGTCGTAAAAAGCATCGAATAGTTTTGAACATCCGTTGATCAATTTCGAAGACGATCTCTCGTTTCGCGTGCATCTTCGAACAAGGATTTGAAGGATTTAAAAATGCAATATTTGCGCGCGTCTTAATTAAAAGTTTCTAACTTGTTGATTCAATTAATTAGGTGAATCTTCGATCGGCCGGGAGAAAACGCTTCGCACACCTGAGCGCCACTCAGGATGAGATTCACGTGGACGCACCGGTGCCCTGGGGTGAGGACACTCTATTCACTTTGGAATTTCGCCCGGCAACTATGGGCGACGATCACAGCCACGGGGATCGCACTAAATCCGAAGGCGGCCATTACGCGCTACATACTTGCAATAATAAATATCTCGCACGTGATGGCAAACTGTTGGACGCTTGCACACGGGATTGTCTGTACGCCGCGGAGTTCCACGCCGGCCTTCTCGCTCTTCGGTATGTTCAATTGTGCAAAAGAATTAAACGCCAATTAAAATGTAAGTCAGTCTTGATTAGCATAATTGAACAACTAATTAGTATTAATCAGCAATTATTCAATCTTTATTTAAATTGCGAACAATTTACCAACAAGTTTTTTCCTTTCAGCGATATACATGGCGCGTACTTGGCACCGATCGGCAGTAAGGCTGTTCTGAAATCGAGATCAACAACTGTTACGCGCGACGAGCTCTTCTCTTTGGAGGAATCTCTACCACAGGCATCGTTCGTCGCGGCATTGAACCAGCGATACGTTTCCGTTAAGCAAGGTAATAGTAATTTCTAATCTTGCTAGCGATTCATCGTCGTAAAAAATAAGGTACAGTTGAGATTTGATTCAATTGACATAATTGATGCCCGATTTGATCAGGCGTCGACGTGACGGCCAATCAGGACGAGATCTCCGGCCACGAGACATTCCAGTTAGAGTTCGATCGAGTAACGAAACGATGGTACGTGCGAACAATGCAGGACCGTTACTGGAGCCTGGAGGCCGGCGGCGGCATCCAGGCGTCCGATCACAAGCGCTCGTCGAACGCGCTCTTCGACCTGGCGTGGCAGTCGAACGACGGCACCGTCGCATTGCGCGCTAACAACGGCAAGTTCCTGGCCACCAAGCGGTCCGGCCATCTCTACGCGAACGCCGACTCACTGAACGGCAACGATTCCGACCCTGCTAAGTACCATTTCTACCTGATGAACCGACCGGTGCTGGTGCTGCGGTGCGAACAGGGCTTCGTCGGCCCCAAGAGCGCGGCCAGTCCCAAACTCGAGTGCAACAAGGCTGTCTACGAGACGATACGCGTCGAGCGGTGCGAACGCGGCGTGGTCAGATTCAAAGGTAACCTAACCTCTCACGTTATTTATTTTAATTGACTGAATTAATCATTTTTGGAAATCGGAAACATTTTGAAGTTAATAACCACTAATTTTTTATCGCTGGAAAATATTATCCTGTTATATTCCTCGTATTTCTGTCGAAATTACGAGAATTAATTCACGAATCACTAAACGTATAGGACAAAATGGAAAGTATTGGCACGCGGACAGCGAGGGAGTGACCGTGGACTCGGACATGCCGTCCGACGGCTTTTATCTGGAGCTGCGCGAGCCGTCGCGAATCTGCATCAAGTGCGTGGACGGCCGGTATCTCACCGCGGGCAAGAACGGCGTGCTGCGCCTGGGCGACACGGACTACGAGTCCGCCACGAAGTGGGAGTTCTAATGCAGGGGATAACGCGCAAGATGCAACGAGCAAGATGTATATTCCGCTGCCTCTTCAGCTTTGGTCGTAACTCGCAGTACCGTATCCCCGAATAACAATAGCAGGAGACTCGCGGCTCCCGCGCTGATTCCTGCCGCGTACTTAATCGAGCATACCGCGCCGCATCAGCGTTGCCGTCGAGTTTTAACAGTGCCGACACGGCACGACTAATACTCTTTCTTTTCCCAGATCTTGATCAAACGCTTCGTGAATCCGCAGTATATCCGAGACTGACGATTAACCGACTTACGCTGAATTAACGCCAGAATTTCGAGAGAACGTCCGAAGGACCGGCTGGACTATTGTAACTGTCCACGGTCTATTTTATACGTAACACACTTTTATATCCGTATATTGTAAGGACAGTTTGCCACGCTGCGAGCTACATTTTTATAACAATATTGTCTTTGGCGTGTATCAATTATTTATTTATAAAATCGATTGTTATTTGCGATGAATAACCGAACTTATTTCATGCTAAATTATTCCTTGCCAAGAGCAGTGTAATAACGTGGAATATCGCTGAAGTGTCGCGTAGGAATCGAGGAAGAAGTCTGGATATTTCTGCTTGCAGCGTGGCAACGACTTTTTGCTACCGTTAGGGGCACATTTTATTCATTAGACAAATTATTTAAAGGAAGATAAAAGTTACACTTGTGAAGGCACAATGAGAGAAAGAGAGATAGAGCCAAGTCCATTCGATTAGAATCACTGCCCCAGGTTCGACACTGACCTACAGATTTCATTGCCAAAACACAATCACTAATTGAGTAAAGCGCATTTAACGGAATGCACACACGAGAGTTTCGCTGTACTCCCCTCGCATGCTTCACACGTACTAGCCTACTGCGTATGTTAAATAAAATATGCCAAACTAAGGCTTGGTGACGGAAAGACTCGCAACAGCAGCACATAGATCGGCGGTTTTTGTTCGCTTTCTTCTTTTTTTTTTTTTACGATACTTCGACGGGTATTGCGCGTTCTTAGCAATAAGATTAGACTTAATCTCATTTCTCAATGATAAGAAAACTGACAGAAAGTCACGTTGTGTTTTATAATTTACGAATTTTCCGGTATGTCGAATAGAATTGTAGGAGATAACGAGAAGTAGACTCTTCGGATAGATGATCATTTCGAGACACACTGAGATATGTACGTTCGTCTTGTGTAAATATATGTTTGTCTCTTTTTTTCAACGTCATTACGCTGATCGCAACATGATACTACGCACGGCAGGCGCCAATTAATTTTTACATGTTACGAGAGCGAAACACGTATTTATAATGCGAAGTGTGCGAAAAGCATTCGGTGAATATTTTACTTTTTTGGATGATATACTGAAATATATATATGGATTTTTTGATCCACTGACGAGATGACACAATTTCTTTATATACTTCTGTAAGCGGCAATCTCTTTATTACTTTTTCACGGTAGAAATGCATTAAGAGCAATTGATGTAATAAATTAAAGGATGTAATAAAAAAATTTTTTATTGATCGGAGCTACACGCGACTTCTTCTATAAACTGATTGCATTATTATATTAATAAGTTTATATACACGATGTACAAGTCACTATCGAGTTTATCAGTGGACAATTTTAGTAAGTTTAATAAACCTATCAACTGATTGTTTTGTTACGAAAATATTGCAAAATAGTACTAATGGATCATTTTTTATTTACATCAAGTTGGAAGATTTTGCATTAAAAATTAAAGGAGGATAACACTTTCTCAGTTATTACTTTCTTCATAGCTATACATTGATTTTCAATCAACAATATTGTAAAGCAATAAGAAGTGACAATGATAGTATTATAATATAAAATATTACTTTGCTGCCATATTTTGCCGTTTTGCAGCTCGGTCTTCTAGCACCATGTAATATTTGTTAAACATCAATTTTAGTGCCGGATACATTAAAGGCAAGAGTGGCAATTGCGACAGGCTAATATGCATATTATCGTATGCAATACCGACGTTATCTAGTTTAGTGCCATTCTCGGCTTCAGGTAAGTGAGGTATAACAGAGTATCGTTGGCTGAAGTGCGTCAATAGCGTGAACTTTGCTTGCATTTTCTCGCCCATTTCTACGGCCTGTGAGACCGTTGAGTGAAACTTTATCTTCGCTTCCTCTATCAGATCGTCCTCCATCGTTGCTTCGTGAATCAAAAGGTCGCAATCTTGACCGAGCTTCACGAGATTTTCGGTGGGCATAGTATCTCCGCTGGAAATAGCATCGTCATAATTTTAAGGCACACTTACGCTTCAATGAATTTATGCGTTTAACACGAAGATCGACGAATAACGAGTTACGAATTAAATTTCAAAACAGATTAAGAGATTTATTTATTATTTGGAGTTTATTGCTCACCTGTATACTATCTTCTTTCCATTGTGGAGCGTCACGGAAACGCCGTACGAATAAGGACAATGCTTGACGTACACAGTTCTCACAGCTTGCACGTTCAGCGTTTTGTACATGTCCAAGTATTTCAAGTCATTCGGATTGTGTATGTTCATGAAGAGCTCGCTGTTCGATATTAGCGTCATCCGGTGCAGAATGGGTTCGAAGCGTTTGTGATACAGCTGTAGCCACGCGGCAATATGTGACGGCGCGAACAGGTACAAAGAATCTTGCGTGACAGCCCCTCTTTCCTTTAACAAACCGATCAAGCCGATGTGATGATCCGCGTGCAGATGCGACACGTACACCGCCTGAAATATGAGCCGAGCTTCATGATTGAATTTCGCTGCAAAGTTGTAGAAAAAGAAGGCGCAGACACGATTGCCGTACCTTGATCGTTTTCAGGATCTTATCCGTCTCGGACTTTCCGTAGATTTTCATGATTTGCCTGAACGTACCCTCGCTGCCGTCTAGCACCATACTATGGTCCTCGTCCACTCGCAAGAGTATGCCGCTCGTGTTTCTGACTTTACTCGGAACGCTGGAACCAGTACCCAGCATAACGATCTTTGGATATTCGGTTCCAATAGACAATTCTTTCGTTCGAGCGTTAATGTCCGTTTGCAGCTCCGCCAACACGTCTAGGAAACCCTCAGTCTCGAAAACTTCATTTATGTACTCCTCCGAATGCAACGATACTTCGTTTGTTGTATCGAGTCTCAATTCCGGTTGCAAGTGGACGGTGTGAAGGGTTCTGGGGCGATATATAACGGGCATGTCCGCCGCCTGTGAGGAAAAAAGTATGCAGTGATATAAAAACACATAAGTACTTTTGGAATAGAAGAAGCTTCGATGTGTCAATCTCACCCGTGTTTTCTTTTGAAAGCTTTCTTCGTCCAAAGAAGGGAATATATCAGAATGCAATAAACGAAGTTTATACTGATGCTTGTGGCTCGCTTCGGTCCCCATACACTCGTTCTCCTCATTTAAAACTATATGACGCGTGTTGAGACCAAATTTGCCCATCCAGTCCACGTAACGAGGGTTATCCATTATTTTTTGAGGCGTGAAATGAATGATGCAATAAGGCGCGTCATCCTTGCTCGACGTTGTCGTTTGGTGTTGTGCAAAGGCAGGATGGTTTACAAAGGATTCTAAATAATCTTCCGATGGGCATTCTACAACTGGAAAGAAAGATAGTAAAACGATAAAAGATTTGTTTAATATAAAGATGCGAACAAAATCATATGTTAACTTACTTATGAAAGAAGGACCTGGCGTCATGGGAGAGCAAACATCTTTGCTCAAAACGACTGTGCCGTCAGGAAGAGTAATGTCCTGATTATTTTTGAGCTGTTTCAACAAAGGACCAGCTGGTACACCTTTCTTCATACATTTTTCAAAGTCCAACTTGCCCGCACGAGGATGCAATTTACAAATGTAAGACATTACATTGGATATTTTCTTCTTTTCCAACTTCTTTTCGATCTTCGATATCTTCTTTTCCTTCTCTACTCTATCAGGTACTCGTTTGCCATTAGAATTAGTATAATCATAATAACTGATTGTATTGTCCACTACTTCCTCTTTCACATCAATAGGCTCAGTTTCCTGAGGATTTGATTTTGTAATGGAAACATATGTAACGGTCATTGCCCCATCCGAATATGGCTCCGATTCATCACACTTGGCTTCGTGAATTTTTAGAGCTTGCAGCAACACAAACTTCTTGATTGCGTCAAATATATCTACCGTTCCTTTGGGACCGTGCACATGGACTTTTGGCACTCCAACATCTTGTATCGTCAAGAGCATTCCTGGGATACCACCTAAATTTATCCCAAGACGCAGATGTTACAAACACATGTTCCAGCTTTACTAACTTGGATTTATGCTCATTTGCCAGTCTCTGCGATCCTTCCCCGCAGTTAAAGATATACCTGGTGTTTCCCGCCGCTAAATAAACACATTTTGGCGTACCACGAGCTCCGGTGCCCAGAATCTACAAATGGAAAATTTCATCAATTAATATATTTAGTGCTGAATTGAAATTATAATTTGATTGTTACTTATAGAGTACACACAATACTTGGTACGTTACTAACTTGTAATGATACGTTTATATTGCCAGTGTATTTCATGGATTTTTCTAAGAGTTTCTGTCTCGTCCTTTGCATATTCAGCACGTGTAAAGTTGGACGCGGCATGGTTCTGGAAGATCCGTGACGAGCAAGCAAGTTTCGCTGCAAAATGCAGCTTTTTATAAAAAATGGTGAAAACGTACAGTAATTGTGCTTTCCAATGTGATGCACGAATAAGCGTACGTTGAACGTCATCCGTTCAGTTTTTTTTTACCGTATAAAAACATATAACGACAATAATAAATATAAATAAATTGTATTAACGTTCAAACGCATGTACACCGCTGTACGAAACCATAACCTCATCCACTATTCTCTGATGTAATATGGTTATAACCTATACGCAACCAGTAAGCAGAATGAATAGAAGAGGTACCGCACATATGCGCAAGCCAGGTTATGTGAATCTGCACTTCGGTTAGCTTCGGACACTTAAAACGGCTCCATTTTATTCGGAATTTTATGAAATTGTAATAGGAGTACATGGTGATATAGGAGCTTATTCACTAGTACAGTCGGTACACTTACCATCAATGTATTTGTAATGTTGCTTCCTAAACTACTCAGTAGACGGCGCTGTTAGCATGAGTTACCTCCTCTAATTCATGTGCTCCTGGTAATCAGGAGCACATGAATTAGAGGAGGTAACTCATGCTAACAGCGCCGTCTACTGAGTAGTTTAGGAAGCAACATTACAAATACATTGATGGTAAGTGTACCGACTGTACTAGTGAATAAGCTCCTATATCATCATGTACTCCTATTACAATTTCATAAAATTCCGAATAAAATGGAGCCGTTTCTCGCCGTTTCAGCGGGTAATTGAAATTTTTCTACATGTTTATTTTCGCTATTTTTGACAGTGTTAGGATGCTCGTAAAATACTTAAATAATTGAAACGTCTTTTTTAAAATTTTTAGAAAGTTTTTTGTTGCAAAATACAAAATTATTAAAGAAATTAAAAAACGATCTCTTTTTTAGGACGTTTTTAGAACGTCTTAAAGATGTTTTGTTTAGGATGCTTTTAAGGTATCTTAAAAATGTCTTTTTTTAAGACGTCTTTATATATATTATATATAATATATGTATAATGTTATATTATATATATAATATATGTTAATATTATGCTTTTTCGTAGAATGCAAAAGTCGAGATTGAGAAATCGAGAGCATCTGAAGCTTTCTGTTCAGTGTGGCCTGGTGGCTTGCGCGTGTGTGCAGTATCTTCTCTATTCATGCTGCTTTGCTTCTTGCATCTCAAATCGGGTTATACTGGTTTTGTTAAAAAAAATACAGTAGTTTATAACTGTTAAATGCTGAGCTTATAGCGCAATTTTTAAATCTTGATATCAGCAAATTATTCCCAAAAATGATATTTATAATATTTTAAATATTAATTAAAGTTTTTGTGGGTATATAAAATTTTTTGTGGGTATATAAATAACAGAAACTATTTTTCCTTTTCACATGTTAATATATTTTTATAGATGTCATTTTCATTTTTCATATAAAAGTCAATATCATGTGTGATGCAATTCCTCTTTTCATATATAAATACTGGATTTGTTATATTTTCTTTTCTATTAAGTTAGGCATGTATTAATTTTAATAAAACAATATAGTTAAGTGATAACAAGAGACAATATTTCAATAAAATTTAGCATGTATAAAATTCATTGTATGTCACAATTGTATGCTTTGACGTTTATCATTAATCTGTAAAATTCATATTTATTGTATTGCACAAATTTTTCATAACACAAGTAACAGTGGCGTAACAATTATATAATGCAATCAATGAAATTTATATACATAAATATATTAAAGATTAAAAAATAAATGCTATTGTAGAGAAATTGATTCTGATAGAATTTAAACTTGTTTAAATGCTGCTTTGTTTCATACTTATATTTTACAAATTATGTTAAATTTTAATTAATAATGCACATGAAAGTATCTGTTATATTTCTTATTGGATAAAGAGGAAAATATATTTCATACATTTGTTGTACTTTTTCTTGATATCACATGATTTTCTGGAAAATATATTAAACAAAATATTGTGCATTATTAATTATGCTTATGATTCTGCGATGTATAACTAGCAAATTTATGCTACAATTTGTACCCTGTAATTACGAAGATACATGTGTTATCGCTCGAACATTGAAACATCGAGACAGCCTAACACTATTCATCTATTTATGATTCAACAATAATTTAATACTATCGTATATTTAAAACCAACAATTCTGTAGAAGTTTCATCTGCGTTAACATATATTTGGCACGTGTCACACGTGGACTTTTTTTTGCAAAAACGTAACTTATATATCTATTTTTTCATTTTACAAGAATACATTTTTTGAGTATTATTACTATTCCTAATTAATTGCTTACTTTAGCAAAATTAGTGTTTTGTTATAATAACGTTCTTAATTTTAATAGGCACGTTCTAATTGAGATAGCTCTAGTTAGATTGATATTATACTATAATTGTATAATAGTTAACAGCTTTTTATTTTTTTTTTTATTAATCAAATATAGTTTTAATAAATATATCATTTAAAATTTAAATCATTGATTATATTAATGCTTTTATTTGTCACTGACGTTCGATGTTTCGTTGTTTCGACTAGTAGCTGGAAAGCTTAAATTGATCATTTTAGTATAAGTACGTCTTTCCAAAAATTAGCTACATATTTTGGAACACGCTAAAATTGATATAACAGTAATTGATATCTTCCGGAGCGCAAGATTTAAAAAAATACATTTTACCGTTTAACCCTCCTAATTTAACAATCGTTATAATAAATTTTAATGTGTGTGTGTGTGTGTGTGTGTGTGTGTGTGTGTGTGTGTGTGTGTGTGTGTGTGTGTGTGTGTAAATATAATATTATAGTATTTAATGCCTATAATATTATATATATAATATATACGCAAAATACATCTATCGTAACGAATATGTATATATTTTAATTTTTTCTATATATAATATTATTATATATATATAATATTATATATAATTATAATATATACACATTTGTTACAATAGATGTATCCATCGTATACTGTATTATTAAAAAACAATATTTCTCACTGAAGAAAGTTTAATGAAATTTAACGATTATAAAGTATGAGCGATGAAATTTCACAAAAAAAAAAACATTTGTGACGTCAAAATGTGAGTTTAGAATGTGAGAACCATCGATGATTGCGCTGTTCGTTGATAAAAACTCGTACTCGGTTGCAAAGCTCTTTTCTCTCGAAGCAAAGGTACGCTCTCTGAATATCTATGATAGTCATCATATTCGCGTCCGCAATTATAGTGTACTGAACATTCCTGCAATTCAGTTTCTGCTCTGACAGGATGGCGCTGAAACAATGATGGATTTTGCTCTGTTGGTTTTTTCAGCTCAGTAACAGATCTCGGTAGGAAACCATTACTTCTCATCTCCCCTGCAAATTTAATAATTTCAAAAACAGAATGTGATTAAACATCGATGAATATACGATAAAAGCAATTCTACATGATTAATTACATACAATTGCACAAAAGCACATTTTTTTCTTCATTTAATTCTAAACTATATTTTGTGTAATACACACAGGACTATAATAAAAAATGCTTTCTAATCAAGAGCGATACACAAACAGAAAAATTTTGCTCTAGCTTGCTTCTAATAACTACAATTGTAACACAGTAATGAAAATTAGAATTGATGATATAGGTACCTGTTCTACCAACCATTCTGGCATTCCGTTTTGGTCAGGGGAGGATTCTCCGTGGAATCGCTTGAGCTTTCATTCCGATTCTCTTTAACGCACCTGATTAAAAACATCGTCAACGCTCCCACTATTGGAGGAACGCCGGCTAACATGAAAGGCAGATCATAGGAACCTAATATTAACAAACGTAATATATTTTGTTAGTGGGACACATGAAGAAATTATACGTAATATAAAATTGAAGTTGAAAATTCCTTCGATGAAGCATCAAGGACATTACCGGTGTGATCATACAGGAGTCCTGCAATTGGTGGACCAACTGTTAGAGGTATAGAGCACATCCCTAGGAGGAACCCGATGGCCTGAGTTGCGCCGTTGCGTCCACAGATATCAAACGCGATCGGTCCAAGTAATGATATGAAGCATCCATCGAACAGTCCCATGCCCAGGGAGATAGCCAGGAGTACGTAAAAGGATTTAGTGAACGGAAGGAGCATCGTGAGAATACCGATACTTATAAATGAGATCTGAGACAAACAGTAGTTTTGCATTTAAGTATTCTTTTAATAAGAATGTGAATTAAAAGTTCCTGTAATGCGAGGCTCACCTGCTGCAACAATATTCGGTCGACTTTCGGGAAGTCGGCAATGTAGCCGAAAAATAATCGACCAATACCGGAAGTGATGCCGATGCACATGACTGGTAGCTTGCCATCCGCGTTCTTAAAAGTTGTATCCACGAATTTGCCTATGTGAACATACGGGACGAAATATCTGGAATAAATTATTAACGGTTGCAGTATCTGTACAAGACTCGCAGGTTCTTATAATTGTCGACCAATCGTTGTCTGATTATTTTTCGACTCTGCATTTAAATGAGCGAGAGGACGACGACAGTGATATTTGCATGTTTATGTAATTTACTTCTTACAATTTATGAGCAGACAAAGTTCAGAGGAAAGACTCGAAATGTCATTACAAAACAAAAAAAGAAACCTCGAAGATAAAAATAATCAGACAACGATTGGTTGACGATTATAATGATTTATTGGGATTATCTGTATCAGTTTACTTTTTGCGACAATTGCTATTTGCATACCACAAGGCGAGATAAAGCATTTTATGCTACTACGTATTCGCATCCGTAATCATAAAGTCACTGGGGCTGAGCGCTAATAATTCTGTAAACGATCAACTCACCCAAAGATAGCAAGAGGAATAGAACTAGCCCACACGACGTATCGTTTTTTCTTCCAGATAGATACGTTCACAAATTCTTTCAAACGACTCCGCAATGATTTTCTCGTGGGTTGCGGTTTGTCTTGCTGCGGCAGATTCACTAAAAGAAAGAAAATACTTATTGATATGACAATCGTTAAATTGCAATTATCATGAACTCTAAATGACCTTAAAATGCAGCAAAAACTACAATTTTATATTATATCAAAGTTATTATGCATGATATTTTAATTGCAAAGATAAAACGGATTTTGCAAACTTTATAAAATTCTCCAAACTTGCAAACAATCTTCGTACATTATTATAACTAAAAAAAAATATATATATATCGACAATATCATAAATGCTTGCAGATTTTAAGGGCAGCTTACACGGTATCGGTTTGAAAAGTATAGCGCAAGCCATAATGATGGCGGTGAGCATGGCCATGCTTCTCAGCGTTCCTTCTAGACCCAAACGTCGCAGCAAGAGTTCCATCAGAAAAGGAATAAGTGTCGTGAATACGGAACTTCCAGCCGTGACGATACCGTTCACCAAACCCAGATACTTTTTGAAGTAGTGGCCCAATATTACAAGACTCGGAGTGTAAGCGAGACTCGCACCAAGTCCGTACATAACGCCGTACGTTAAATAAAGCAGTTCCACCTAATATAAATAAAATGCAAATTACATATGCTTCTGTAAAAGCAAGTTATTTGCAACAAGTTATTTTTAAGTCACGACGTTTCATTGCCGTCAAAGTGTTTACCCTATTAATCAGCAGCGAGGAGAGAAATAAACCGGTTGACGCGATTGCACCTCCCACAAAAGTAGTCATCTGAATGCCGAATTTGTCTGTCATTATGCCGGCGACCGGCGACAGGAAGAATGTAGTTCCTATAGTCAGCGAGCCAACTAAAGCTGAAAATATTTCACAGAGTTAATTAATGAATAGTACAATGTGATTTTTTTGAGCCAAATTGAAGAGATAATTTTCAACTCGAAAAATCTGTCGATATTTTTTATATTCATGTAAAAGAGCAATTTTTAGCCAAAGAATTTCTGCTCCTCGAAATCCGAAAATTCTGGGATATTCATATTATCGTCAACAATATACAAGCAATTATCAGTATTCACTAGACAGACTCATTATTTCATTGAACATAACAAAGAGATAATTGAAACCTTAAGACAGTAAATAATTGCGTATGACAATAATAGGCAGATAAACGAGATCATAGCGACCGATCGGGCGCACGTTGCAAATTAATAGCGCGTATCTAGGTCGGCAATTTATGAATTACATTTTTTTTGTAACAAGAATGATTAAGTTGATCAAGCAGCATCAACAAGTAGTATGAATTAACCCCTATTACTATAAATGCCTGTCTAATTGTCGAACAATTTAGTTCCCTTATTTAAGGGCGCTACCCGTGTAAACAATTAATCTCGTCTCGTTGTTTTGAATTTATACGCCTATCGGATAATCCTTTCCTTCGATTCGGTTTAATAACTCGAACAAGAAAAGTGCAAAACGAAGAGAAATGCGTCATCTCTCTACAATGATAAGAGTAAGACGTCGTTCGCGTAACTGATACAGTGTTATCAAAATAGAAAAATTAATATCTTTTCCTCTTTTAGAAACATTCAGATAATAAGGTTCATGAACCGCGTGTACTTGCGGTCGTAAGCCTCTCGAATATCCATCTACGGACGCGTTGAAAAGTTGCGATATAATCATAAAATAGCGAATCACTTCGCTGCGAATCTTTTGCAAATCTTTCCTGCGTAAAAGTTACGAAAAGTTACGATCACATTTGAATCAATATAAATAATTTGAATAATCAGTTTTAATCTTGAGATGTATATCATATTAACACATGTATCATTAATGCGATATATATTGCGACGTGATGTAATTAATTATCGGAGTTTTGTAAGGTCGCTGCGATATTAAAAAGTTGTTACAATTTTAGCAAGTTGAAGGCTGTTATTGCAAAAACACGATGACACTCACAATCAGTTGTATTATCTGTAACAGTTCCGTGAATAAAAATGTAATAAAATCGCGAAACGCACATGCTGACAAAATATTATATAAAAACTTGTCGGTTTGTTAAGTGTCATGATTTATCAAATATGTCAACATTTCATATTTCATAACTTATGAAATATCAATATTTATTAATAAATAAGGAAACCAGGAAATTCTTTCAAATTTAATTATATAAGATGTTTATGCTGTATCTGCGTTGCTTATTTGAAGAATTTAAATAACAAAAGATCTATTTATGTTGTTAAATAAGTTATATATATATATATATATATATAATATATATATATATATATAT